TTCTAATACGAGGAAAAGAAAAATGGTTTGGACTTCCATAAATTTGCGTGCCTGTGCTTGTGCAATTTAATATCAGTCATCAGTCATACTATTAATTAAAAGACTTGTGACGCCCTCGCATTAATGAGTAGGTATACAGGCTGTTTCACGCATACCGTTACCTAAAAGTATTCAGACTCCCATTAATAATGATTTACCGAAAGAAAATATTATCATGATCGGTACCGGTACAACCGGAAGTGGATAGTAACTTTCTTATTTTAAATAGAACACCCTATATTTTATTAAAATCTACGTCGTTTGATACCACATTTCCCTATACCTAGCATCCAACGTTTTCAAGTTAAATAAGATTTTTCAAAATTGTTTATGCTTGACTGCTTTTCTTTAGTCTTCCAAAATCAACAATACTGGCGTGATGCTACATGCAAATGATTTAAATTTTAATCACCGTTCTACAGGGGGTTTTAAAATTAATGGCCAAGTTTAATAACTTCAAACCTTAAAAAGTTGATTTTTTCAAATGAAACCTGCTTTATTTTTGTGCCCTTTCAAATATGAAAAAAAAAATTATACATCGTTAAATTCGTACATTCCCTATACCTATCTGTATTGACGATTGACCATTATGTGCATAATTTCCATAGGAGGCCTTCAAAGATACGCGTTAGCAAATCTTTTAGACAAATCTTTAAATTCTTCAATTCTTTAAATAAAGGAGAAATCAAAAACGGCCTTCTAATAAAATTATGCGTATAACGGTCACAATTTTAGAAAATCTCAGGGAAAATCTTAAAGAAAACGAAAACCATAACAGATAGAGAATGTAGATGTAGAATTTTTTTCCACATTTGAAAGTGCAAAAAAATAAAGCAGGTTTCATTTGAAAAAATAAACTTTTTAAGGTTCGAAGTTATTAAACTTGACCCTTAATTTTAAAACACCCTGTAGAAGGGCGATCAAAATTTAAATCATTCGCATGTAGCATCACATCAGTATTGTTGATTTTGGAAGACATTTTGAAATTCAAGTCAACGGAGCCATAGGTACAGGGCGCTAAAGAGAAGCAGTCAAAGCGTCAAAAATGTTGAAAAATCTTGAATACCTTGAAAACCTTTGATGCTAGATATAGGGAAATGTGGTATCAAACCACGTAGATTTTCATGTTGATTTTAAAAATCCAATAAAATATAGGGTGTTCGTTTTTAAGTAAGAAAGTTTCTATCTACTTCCGGTACCTACAACCGAAAGTGATACGATGATAATATTTTCTTTCGATAGATCATGAAAAACTATGATGGTATGCAAATTTTCAGATTTAAATATTTTTAAGGGGGTCTAAATACCTTTAGGTAACGGTTTGCGTGAAACAGCCTGTATAAGTATATCGTTTCCCTATAGAGCTCATACCTCTCCACACTGTTTATGCGGTTTACAGGGCGAGAGCAAAATTTGTTTGTGGATAAGTGCTTTTTTTAGCATTTCGGACCCGTACTCTTTGAGTTGAATAAATAATGAAAGCGTAATTTGAAAGTTTCCCGTTCCATGAAACTAATATTTATCGAAATACTTACAGATAATGAAGTCGAATTCATGCCAGAGACATTCTTTTGATGGCGGTCCTTTAATTTTAGGGCCACCCCTCCCCCACTGTATCGATCATCACAGGTTCTGCGCGTACTGTAATCCCATTGACTTCTCATTTTGAGAAAAGTAAAATATTTATACTCGTAGTTTTCGACGATTACCCGTTTAATTTATTGCACTACAACCACCTTATCCTTCTCGCTATTCATTCTGTTAAAAGAACAGTGTTATTTATTTGGTAATTGAATGCACTATCCTCTCAGGATCATTTTGAGGACTCAGGTAATTTGGTAATCTTTGACGTCGTTATACTCCTCATGGTCGACTCACCATACTACCGCTCTGGTTCCTTACACATAACTTAAATAATATCTATGCCTTAGAGTCTACAGGAGGGGCCAACTGGCTCCGTGGCGCCATAGTTAGTAGCTGCAATTAATAGAATATGAATAATGGGGATGCATTATCTTTCGCCTTCTTACGTGCCGGTATCAGTACAAATCTGCAATGTTTGTACACAAAAGTCGGCTTCACTTTCTCATTCCACGAACTTTTGCACAATAAATTGCTGTGGTCAAATTGTCAAAACTGTTTCCACCATAGAAGTGCAGATCCTCTCGACGTCTGTAAAGTTTTTGTTATCACTTCGACCAGGTTTTGAAGCAGTCGAGTGGACATTTAGTCTTCAGGAACAATTAGAACCTTACCCTTTCAGGTGAAAGTCGAAAAACAAGATTACGAATTTTTCCGAGTACTTAGACTTTTTCAGATCAAATTACTTTAATCGTGTAAAATCGTGTAAATTAATCCTGGTAAAAAGTTTGTCGTTCCTTAGGGCGGCCGTACACGAGCTGCATTTTAAAAACCAGGTGTCAAATTCTTGACAGAATAGCTTCCTAGCTGAAACCAAAAATTGCCAACATATGTTTTTTTACGCATGCATTTTGTTTGCTTTTATTAGAGGGACCTACCATCCAAATTTCGTTAAAATTGCTCCACAAATAAGAAAGTTGGATGTTGCACATGCGCAACACTATTTTTTGCGCAAGCATTTTGTTAGCTTTTATTAAAAGGACTTACCATCTAAATTTCGTTAAAATTGTTCCATAAATAAGAAAGTTGCATTTCTGCGCATGCGCAACACGATTTTTGCGCATGCATTTTGTTTGCTTTTATTAGAGGGACCTACCATCACCATCCAATTTTCGTTAAAATTGCTCCATAAATAAGAAAGTTGGATGTTGCACATGCGCAACTCGATTTTTTTGCGCATGCATTTCGTTTTCTTTTATTAGGAGGACCTACCATCCAAATTTCGTTTTAATTGTTCCATAAATAAGAAAATTGCATTTCTGCGCATGCGCAACACGATTTTTGCGCATGACTTTTGTTTGCTTTTATTAAAGGGACTAACCATAGAAATTTCGTTTAAATTGCTTCAGAAACAAGATCGTTGCGTTTTGCACATATGCAACACAATTTTTTGACTGACAATTTTTTTCTCCGTTTTTTGATAATATAACCCGGCCCAATTTTTTGTAGGTTGTACACAGGAAAATAAGTTCTTCCAAATAATAGAATAAAAATTTTAGGTTGCTATTTGAAAAAAAAAGTTCGATGCCGTTACGGCGCTCCAAAATTTTTTTTCAAAAATCCGGCCCGTTATTTTTCTGTTCGGCATGCCTAAAACATATATACAAAATTTCAACAAAATCCGTCGAGCCGTTTTCTCAGAAAATTGCCAACAAACGTACGTACGTACATACAGACGGAAAAAAATTTTATTCTTTAAAACTTGCTTAAAATGGTCTAAAACGTCGACATTTGATGAAATTTTGAAATGTTCAAAAAACGGCTATCGCAATAGCTACCTAGCACATGCTAGGAAGCTAAAAATAACATTAACCAACTTTATCTTAAAATGCGTGTGGATACCAACATTTTTTAACTTAGGACACCTAACAAAAATCAAAATACTATTCCTACTCTCCTTCTACTCCACTATATTATATTATGATTCACCTAAATCACGATGATAACTGGACGGAAACCATTTTGTTAAGTTTAGTTTATTTGGCAGACCAACATTTCCACTTATTCAATAATTTAGTTAAGAAAACGGAAAATCACATTACCATTAAATTTTGTTGGCAAGGCAGCAAAACCGCCTCAATAGGCGGAAGCGCCATGGTGAACACTTTCATTCCTTCTCAATTCTGTAGAAGATGCTAATCTAGTAAGCAAAATACGCTATTGCTATCCATACAATACAAAGTTGCATTTTGGAAATGTTTGTTACTATATCAAAAACTGCTGCAGATGCAAGAGTGGAGAAGCTTTTAAATTACCTACTTCTAAGTTTCTAAGTTTCAACAATTTAATTTTAAAGACGATAAATTCATGTAACGACGAAAGGAAGAAGTGGCATATCACGTAGCATTTTATGTATGCCTACCTAGTTAGATTTATTTACGTAAAATTGAATTAGGCCTTCATTAAAATAATTGGTAATTACCAAGCAACAATTTTGGGTACAAGTTATTTTATCATCACTGTAAAAATGCGAAATTTAATCGTTTTTGATCTATAATAAATCTCATATTCTCGTAATCCGATGAAATGAATTTAGCGTTTCGAAATCTGAGAATTCTATGAATGAAAGCACTTTGAACGATGCATTTGATTCGAACTCAATTAAAGAAGACTTCCGCTACATACGGTAATTATGAATGAAGGATATGCTAACCGGGTATTGCTATATTTAAAACAGCTTTCCGATATGCTTTATATTTTGACTACGCTGGGCGTTTTCAGGATAACATACGGTTGGATGTTTTATTGGATAGAGTTTCTGGAATTAAAACTATACGAAAATGGTACGCCAAATTTGTGTCCTAAAATTGAAGATTCGGACAAATGCATAATGCGTGTTGTCTACACAAATTTCGTCAAAGTCATGATCAAACTTATTACGACGGTATTGAAACAAATAGCAATTGGTGGATTTTGACAAATCGTAGGGCTAGTCGCCATATTACTTACATTTCTGTTTAAATTTAACGTTGCATACTTACGGTGAACGTAACACTCTAGCTAGACCCTCGGTATTTTATTTTTAATAACAAATATCTTAAACAATTAGTTGGCAGCATGCACCTCTGTAAAATAACGTAAACGCTCAAACTTCTATGGCACAATATCATAGAGGATAAAGGTACTCCCTATAAACGGGTCGATCTGGATACAACATATCAAGCTGCAGCAATACAGCTGGAAATAAGCAGATCCTTTACGATTTGCAATATATACACTCCAAATACAAATTATGAGGTCGAAGAAATCGAAAAAATTATAAATCAGCTTCCAATCCCTTTTATCTTGGTCTGAGATTTCAACTCCCATAACACCGTTTGGGGTTCTGGCTCAAACGATGCTCGAGGTAACGACCTGTTAAACTTAATAGAAAATAAAAATTTAAGTTTGTTAAATGACGGCTCTGTAACGTTTTTTAATGTCAGATCCGGGAAATTTGACTCCATCGATGTGTCGGTATGCTCACCGGCCTTACATACTAAGCTTAAATGGGAGGTGGAGAGTGACCTGTATCACAGCGATCACTTTCCCATAATCATCACAGTCCTAGGTGAAAACCCCCCGATAAGAACGATAGCTAAGTTTAAAATTGAACAAGCTGATTGGGAACATTTTACGCAGCAGCTCGTCCCTCCAAACCAGATGGAATCAAATCTTCAATCTATAATGAGTGCTATATTAGAGGCTGCAGAAGCAAGCATCCCTAAATCAAAACCCGGTCACATCAGAAAAATGGTCCCATGGTGGTCACCTGAAATAAAAAACAAAGTATCATTAAAGAAAAAAGCGTTAAATAGGTTCCGCAGGTCTCCAACATTGGATAATCTAATAGATTTTAAAAAACGAAGATCTGAGTGCCGACGAGGAATACTCGAGGCACAAAGAAATTCGTGGCAAAAATATGTATCCACTATGACACCAGAGACAACCAATAAGGAAGTCTGGAAAAAGGTGGGAGCAATAACCGGAAAAACCGGTTACAATTACCCGGCATTTTTAAGAAACATTAACGGGATAATTATAAACAATCTACAGGATATAACAAATATTATTGCAGATCAATTCTACAAAGTTAGTAGCTCCCTAAATTATCCTCCTACCTTTCTAAGGACCAAACCTGAAAAAGAATCCAGATTATTAAATTTTAATACCAACGATATTTTTGACTATAACTTACCATTCACCATTGAAGAATTTGACACTGCGATTCGCACCATCAAATCATGCGCACCGAGCCAGGATGGCATACATAACCAGATGCTTCGCCATTGTAGTCCTGAAATGAAGGAAACCATCTTAACATTTTTCAACAACTGTTGGAATTATTCTACTTACCCCTCAGAATGGAAGCAGGCCATCGTCGTACCTATACCGAAGCCGGGAAAAGATCCTTTGCTAGCACAGCATTATCGCCCAATAAGTTTAACCTCTTGTCTAGGCAAACTGCTGGAAAAAATGGTTAATACAAGGTTACAAACGTATTTAGAAAGAAACAACATATACGTACCATATCAGACCGGCTTTCGGAAGGGGAGATCAACGATTGACCACCTGGTCAAGTTGAGCAACCAAATCCTGGGGGCGTTCGATAATGGCGAGCATCTGGTCAGTGTCTTTTTTGACATAAAGGGTGCGTATGACATGACATGGAGACACGGAATATTAAAAAACATGCTTAAATATAATTTACGTGGGAATCTGCCAAAATTCATACAATCATTCATGTCAGACAGAAAATTTGTGGTCAGAGTGGGTGACACCTACTCAGACGAGCATGTTTTGGAGAATGGGGTACCGCAGGGGTCAACACTCAGCTGCTCCCTGTTTGGTATTGCCATTAATGAAATAGCCATGGGTGTCGCTGAGGAAGTGGAGAAATGTCTCTATGTCGATGATTTGATGATTTGTTGTACAGGTAAAACGGTTGGTGAAATAACTCGTAAACTGCAAGTGGCAATAAACAAAATCCTAGAGAATGCTAATGCTGTAGGATATGTGCTGTCCGAAGAGAAGACAAAATGTGTCCATTTCTGTCGACTCCGAAGACCACATTACGATCCAGTTTTGTTTATGAACGATCAAAGCATTAATGTTGTACGAAATATAAAATTTTTAGGTTTAACGTATGATAGCGAGCTAAGATGGACGAAACATATAGAGAACCTAGTAACATCCTGCCGAAAATCTTTAAACATCTTAAGGGTGCTCGCTCATCATAAATGGGGAGCCCACCCTAAAACAATGCTCGACATATACAAAGCCCTGATACGATCACGTATAGACTACGGGTCACATGTCTATTCCACTTGTAGTGCTACATTGTTGGGACAGATCGATAAAATCCAAAATTTAGCAATAAGGTATTCACTTGGTGCCTTCCCAACAAGCCCAACTGTGTCGCTCCACGTTGAATCGAATATTCCACCTCTTTCCATTAGGAGAAAGCAAATAGTGGCCAATTATTACGCGAAAGTTGCGGTTGATAGCAATCATCCGAACTATCATGGAATGGTCGAAATAATGGAAGGTGCACGCTTAGCTCGATGTCGATCGTTGGGGGTGAGAGCTAAAGAAATTATGGGTGAATTGAACCTGACAGACGAAAACATGTCTGATTTATCAAAAAACGCGCGTCGATCCATAATCAAGTCTAGAACATGGAGTAACTGGAATGAGCAATGGAGAGAATCGGAAGCGCTCTTAAAGAAGTTCAAGGGGGATGTGGGTCCGATGTTTCTACCAAATAGGGAAAGGTATATACTAGGAAAAATATATCGGCTCAGGTTAGGACATACCTCCATCACTCACTCATTTCTTTTGGTTAATGAGAATCCCCCTCAATGCGAGCGGTGTTTAGTAAACCTAACTGTAGTCCATTTACTGTGCGAGTGTCCAAAATATAACGCAGAGAGACAGCGGTATAATGTGAGAGAAGATATTGTAGAAAACCTGACAAGTGAATGTCAATGTAAAAATACTATAAACTATTTGAAAAGTACTAATCTATTAACTAAAATCTAAACTACAATATTCTTACCAATAAAATGGCAAATGACCATAGCAGTCAACGCCTCAGGAGGGGTTTTAGTGGGTATACCTGGTATCAGGGAGCCCCACACTTTGTGCGTAATGCATTTCCCCTCCTGAAGAAAAAAAAAAAAAAAAAAAAAGTTAACGTTTAAGTACTTTTTTAATTCCCAAGTCCCAAAACATCAAATGGCATAATTAACATTTCTACTTATTATTCCTCTATACTTACTGGTCGGCTTAAAGCGCACATCAAAGTAAGAAAATTTACATTCCTCACTTTATATTGAATGAAACAGATCACATCTTAATTATAAATGTAAGTCTATTTATAATTAAACGTAGATTTTATAATTTGCTGATATAATCTCAACAATTAATTAAATCAGGAAATATAAATTAGTAAAATGAAGTAATTACTGCAGAAGATGCTAGACCAGAACTATTATTTCGTTAGTCACATGGACTAGCTTGAGGTAAACGCATACAGCAAGCCACGAATAAGGGTAAGTAGCATCCTCTGTCATATAGCTACTAATTCCCAAAGAATCATATTTATACCCAGGCGGTTACAAATTTAAAACTGAATTTGTTATTTCAGGCTTCATCTGCAATGGTTATATAATTGGGTGACGTTGAAAAATGTCTATTGTTTGGTAAATTGAATACTATCATTGACATAGAAAGGCAATGTTTTATGGTAGATGAAGATTAGATTAACGAGTTAAACTATTACAGATTTTTAAATTTTAAAGTGCGATTCCCAAGCCACAAGAAAAGTTAAAAACCATAACAACTTAAAGTTTAAAATGTAAAGTTTCATATTTTATTTGGAAAAACTCGAAATTAATGTCAAAACACATTTCAAGATGGCTGGTGCAGTGGTGCTGGCATACGAATAGCCCCTTTTGCTGAATTTTTGCCTGCTCGCGAAACTATTAATATTCTTTTGTAGGTCGGGTCGCTTTGATCCAGTATCCTTTATGAGAAATATTAAGTTTGTTCAAGCGCGAATTCGTACAATCTGTACGCTTCTGGGATATAATTAAGGTCTCCAAATCCAATCGCGACGCACCAGCAACAATGTTTCGCGTTCTTTGGCACAGATTTCTAATAGCATCTTTATTGGGCATTTTGCCTTGAACGGCTGCTCCGATATTTTCGAGTACACGATATCTGGGCTGGCGTATCTATTGTTTCCTCTGCTTGTTCTATTGTAGCAACACAACACATACCTCTGCTGGGTCATTGTCGTGCTTGTGATTTCCAACATCATGCAAATATTCCTCGTTCGCAGTTGTATGAAGGCGAGTAGGCGACCACGACATTTTTTCGCTTTTCTCTCACATCTCCAAAACCTCTTCGCCCCATCTCTGCTGGTTTTATCGAAAACATACAGAAATCCGTTAAAGCAGAGCTTCTTTTGATTGCGCTTAGTTTTTGTAACTTCCATAATTTCTGCCACCGCTTACGAACAACTAAACTAATTGGCAAATAACAATTGAAAACATCTGAAAGAATTTTGTTCGGGGATGAGTTTCAATAGATTCGCTGATACCAAACTAATCACCCCTAATTATACAGTGCCAGTATCCTGCATACTGTTATAATAATAGTTTCCTATCATTAACTTCATCATGTGCTAAAATAGGTTATTATAGACTTATGGATTTTACAAGTCATTATTATTAGAAGTTACTTTTATAAAACACATAGATACTTAATGTTTTAGAAATCGGCGTGATTTCTTTCTTTTTTCTCTTCTCTTTCTAACTAAACCTAATTACGAAATGCGATTACTACAACACTATTAAACTAAAATATTCATTAAATACCTCTAGTGTGTGTGCATCATGAATTCTAGATGCTTTTTCATCGCTGCTTCGATGTAGAATGGGTTTGATTCCGCCCCTGTGACGTGGATATGGTTCGTCACGCACGGACCGACCACAGACTTCTGGGGTGTGATTTCTCGTTAAGGTGCTCCGCCGTGGATATTTTCAACTTTATTATTTTCTTCCTTAGAAACGCTGTGAAAATCGTCCGCAGCGCGAAGATAACTTGATGACGATGGCTTAATTTCTTTCTTCGGGATCCACCTAATGGATCGATTGACTTAAAGTTGCACGACACGCATTTTTTTAGCATCACCTACTTTCCCACTATTTACACTCATATTTATAAGTACCGCGTTTTATTTGTCGACCTCATAAGCTCTTTATCTTACAACGACGAATCGTTTAAATAACCACCCCGGACTAGTATAAGCTTTTTGTCATTTAACATCGGTAACGAGTAGACGTATATAAAAAACTCGTTGTCATTGTAATTACAATGACCCGCTTCATTTACCTCATACACACGTAGTGCAGTATAAATAATCAATCATTCTATTTAAATCTGAAATAAAAAAGTAGGAAAAGGTAATTTCATAAAAAGTGATATTTTGTTACATGTCAACAGAGATAGAGTGTGGAAAAATACTAGCTCAAAATTTTCATTGAAGTTCAATACTTTTTTACTCTCTCTGTAGGACTTAACAACACTATTTCCCAAAAGTCCATCAAAATTGAAGTACATTATTTACGCTTAAACAATGAGATAAAAAAACAAATCCCAACAACCGCTCTTAAACGAACAACATGAATTATTATATTAATTCAGACTGAAATTTTTTAGCTTCTCGCTGATTTTTATTTGAGAATCTATTACTTTTAGGTATATTATCACAATCCTCCAATTTTACGTCTTTAAATATCGCTACTTATACATTCGATCTTCCAGTAGGAAACGCTTAACTTTCGCTTCGTCGAGTCAAACGATTTAGACTTCGAGCACTTACTTGAGCTACACATTGTGCAATTTAATTCTGCTTATCAAATTATAAAAATTCAGTGTGCGTATTCTGAAATGTACACTGCTACAAGAAGACAACCATCCACGCCACACTGTATAATTCCTGATAAGGCACACAATAACCGGCTTTATGGTTCAGTGGTATAGGGTTGGGCTATAAATCCGGAGGTCGGGTGTTCGAACCTGGGTTGAGATGAATTTTTCATCTGTGGCAGAGATGGGAATTACCTTAGACAAGTTTCGAGCATTCTGTCCGCTACTCCGAATTAGGTTTTCCTGCTGCAGTTTTCTTAATTCGTAAGGTAAATACAGGAGTAGTATAGAACAACTTATGCACTTCTGCAGAGACACCTCTAAAAAGCATTATGCGGGTCACTCTGTAATGGGGCGCAAGCCTGTTGAGGACCCAGAACAAGAGAGGGATAATAAATAAATAAATGTCGTTGTAGGATGTAAAAAATTACTTCAATTACCATTACAAAAGCAATAAATAAAGATGGTGGTGAAATTGAAAACCTTTCAACTGCTTTCACATCTGATTTGTAAAGTTTACAAAATCGTTATTACAAAGTACCTATACAAGTACTATTGTAACAATGATCGTGTAAAGGCAATGGTCATTGTACAAACATGGTAGCAACCATTATCTCTCAGTCCTATTCTTTTTATTTGTAAGACTTTTCCTACGCCTCCTATGTTTATTCGTTCTTCAATCGCAAATTCTTATTAAGGCAATCAGTATGTTTACTTGAAACAGGTCATTTTATAAAAAAGTAAAATAAATAAACTTCTTCAATGACTTCGGATTATACAAATAAGATGACAGTGTTTATATCTATCATTAAAGAAAGTATGTATAAATTAAAACATAATACGTTGTAAAGTCTGAATGCCAAAATTTCTTGGCTATAAAGTATCTTAATTTATGATGTCGTTATACAAATCTTTTTTAAGATATATTCACTCAAAGATGTATTGAATATAAAATTATCACGTTTATTTTGATTTAAACCAGCTTGCAACACGAGTTGGAAATATGAGAATGAAATTATTTAAAATGTATCTAATTAAATGTTTTAGCGTCCTACTTGTTATTTATGTTTGGTACCAGGTTTTGAAATTTATATTGGGTAGCATACATCAATGTGTTTAAAGTATGCTAAGCACTTCTTCTACTAAACCTTAAAACCTTTGGATATACAGCATTTAACTTATTAACTATATTGATTAACTACGTTTTGGAGTTTTACATAATTTAAACATTAATAGGATCATTTGTCTTTATTACCTATGCCGCACGTTACAAAACGTTAGAATAAATAATGCCATTTCTTAGACGCCCATAACTTCTGTTAATAATAAATATTAGCCGTGAATATTAATTACCAAACACCGACTGCATCTAAATAGTTATGGGTCAGCTACCGTAATTATTAATTTGACTTCTAATCTACACTTACATATTGGCGCGTGATTAATTTACAAAGATTAGTGGCAGAAAAATAAAATAGTAGGTGAAGAAAATTCTACAATTTCGAAATATCAATTGATAATTTAACAAATAGGTACCTTATATAATAATATAATTTTTCTGTGTGCAAATTTCTGTTGAATTTGTAGTAGTCCAAAAGAAAATTTCAGGCATGTTTTGCCTACTTTTCATGACTCTTATTACAAGAAGTGAAAAAGACTGAAAGTGCTCTCTCACCCATTAGTGCATAATCAATCGTTACAGTTTTGAATAAAAAATATTACAATAATCGTTTACCAGGCTGATATCTGTTTATACTTTTATATAAGTAGTAAAGTTCAAAAAGAGTTCATATAATCTCTATAAATAATTAATTGATAATGTTCAAAACATCGTAAAAACAAATGTAGCATTATATTTTATTACTATAGAAATAACCTACTGATTTAAAAGTGTTGCTGGTATTTCTACATAAAAGGGAATAGAACGTTTGAGAGATGCTCATTTAGTCAGTCAGTATTTAGAGTGATGTTAATAAACATTTGATTACATACGATCTTGGAATAATATACTTTACCTAATATTTATTTATTCAAGTTGTTAACTTTCCTCAAATACTCATCGACACGAATATATATTTTAGAAAATTAATATACGACTCGATCGTCGTAAGTTTTTTTCC